TTAATATGAATTGTATGCCTTAACCAGCTCTAAATAAAATAATATTAGAACTTTTACTATTAATGCTAAAGAATTATTAGCTTTATATTTGATGAAAAAGTGTCTGAAAACTTTTGTCTACCCTCTGTATATTAAAATTAGTTAACAAAAAATAATATTTATATAAGTAAATTCAAAAAAAATTTATATTAATTATTAATTTTTTGTATTAATTTAAGATCAAAGTTTTAATTATTTTTTTATAAAAGGATTTTCTTTATAAAAGCTAAAATTTATAATTTTTATATTATTTAAAAATCTTTATATAAAATATAAAAATTTATATTTAAAACATTTATTTATATATTTAAATATTATTTATTTATAAAAAAAAAATATATATATAAATTTAAAAAAAAAAATTGTAAGTTTCTATGTAAAATTTTGCATAATAATTGATTGAAAATTTGAATAAAAATCATTACAATTTAAGGGATAGATAATTGTATAACTTAATTCATATTTTTAATAATTAATAGAATTTATATATAAAATGATTATAAATGTTATATGCAAATATTTTTATGTAAATATCATTTAAATTTTATTAAATTGGATGATTTGAATTTTTTTTTTTTAAATTACAAAATCAAATTCTTTCTTTTAGTTCAAATTTCACATTTGTAGATAATCCATCATTTTTTCATTTTCTCTTTTATACTTACAAAATTTAAGATACAATTGGATTTATTTGAAGGATTTAAATTTATTTAAATATTAACATTTTTTTATGTTTGTAACTTTCTAAATAGATTAAAATTATATTAATTTAATTGATTTTTGTAATTTCATTCCTTTTTAACTTCAAAACCATAATACGAATAATTAGGAGCAACAATTAAGGAAAAGTTATTAATGAGACGGTCATTTGACAGATTATTTGTAACATTTTTCGGAAATTTCATAGTAAAGAATAAAACAACGAGTTAAATACGTTACGTCAAATTATCGAATAAATTAACGTTTAGCATTATTCCCGAAGTTCAATTCTAAGCTAAAGGCACTTATAGGTTAAAAAAAATTTGGGACCAGTTGAATTTTTCCGAGTGTCTTTGCGGCTACCAAAAAAAAAAAAAAATTTTTTATTTACAAATAATTAAAAGTTATTTTACAGTATATACCTTTTTCAGCGAATAATATATTAGGGATTAAATTTTAAATGTATTCTTTAGATATAAATGAATTATTATAAAGTTGTTGATATAAGAAGATTGGATAATGCTATCAAAGACTGTTTGACTTCGTTTTGCCATGAAATCACCTTCATAAAAATTTTGAAGCTGGTATTTCAAGTTGTAAAATCAAATCATCTTTTCAATGAAACCTTTTTTTTTTTGATGCCAAAAAAAAAAATAATCTAATTATAGCAGAGCTTTAGATCGTAGAAATTATTCGACATACATTTGAAATTATAATTCTATGAATTCGAAGCATCAATACATCAGCCAACTTGCAAAGTAATTGAACGTTCTAATTCAACATTATCTTATCAATAGAAAGCAGAACATGGCCCATTGTAATTCGTCATGACGAGATAAATTCACCATCGATAGATGGAAATTTATTAGCATTTTACGTTTTTGAAACATTTCAAAATAAATACTGTACATCTAATGATATGATGGAACTCATCCAGTGGGATGGTATGCGGAACTCCAGATGCGAGACTAGTAACCAAAAAAAAAAAACTTTTTTGGAACACATTATTAAAACAAATTTCCTTTTTAAAACATTTTTTATGTTATTGGTTTTAATGTATAACACAATCTAAACGATTCTCCTTTTTTTATAGAGTATACAATTATAAAAAATAATCAATTTCAATCTTTAATCCAACAACATTACCAACTAAACTTAACCAACTTCTAACATATCCTTCTATAGAAATTTTATTTTGTAATATATTATAATCCGAATTTGATTTGGTAGATCTTGGTATATCAACAATTGATTTCATTAAAGTAGCAGTTTCACATGGATGAAGATAATAGAATGGAATTAAAAGCGTAGGATGATCCTAAAAAAAAAATGCGATTTTTTTTTTTTTTTTTTTTTTAAAAAAAAAAATAATAATTTTTAAATTTTACCTGCTGTGATATTCCCCCATGAAATCCTGCGATTTTAATATCTTCTAATCTCGAAGGTTGAATCAAACAAGAATATATTTCGTCATTTGTTAATGGTGTTCCGTCTTAAGTAAAGAATAAATAAATAAATAAATAATTTAATTAATTTAATAATAACAATAATAGTAATAAAAATAGTAATAGAGTAGTAATAATAATATTATTAATAGGTTTATACCATTATGATATGCATTGAAATAAAGTACGGGAACTTTATAAGATGTTGAATATATTATATGATAATCTACAATAAGATATTCAACAGCAGTTTCAAGACTTGTATTTAGAACCTTTGGGATTTCAGAATAAATTAATAAAATAAATGAAGAAAAATGAAGATAATAATTGAAATTTAATTTACTCCAGGATCTTCTACTTCTTCAATTTGATCGAATTGTTCATCATCTGTCGTTAAAGGTGTAATATCTTCATTTTTGAATTCATTTGAAGAATCATTCACTTTTTGAATAATCATCTTTCGGGATAAATATCCAAATCCTTTCAATTTCTAATTTTTTTTTTTAAATCAAATCAAATCGAAAATTTTGATCATTTCTTTAAATCGAACGTAAATATTTTTCTTAAAAAAAGAAACCTCATGTTCAATCCAAATCCAACCTTCGCCAACAACATTTTTTGATTGTTCTAAAAAAGATTTAGCTGCAACTTCAAACTCCTGTCTTGTCAAAAAGGGATATTGTTTTGGATATGTTTGAGTATTTGACATTTTTAATTAACAAGAAATTCTTTCAATTTGGAAAAAAGATGGAAAATTTATTTAAGTTTATTAAGTAATCTGGATGATGTCATAAACCGAAATGAACTACATCAAAAAACCTTTCAATTCAATTCAAATGGCTAAATATCCTTTGTGCCCAAGGCGTACAACGTCTAACATGGAATATCATCTGTTTATATGGCAATACATGTATTTGCAGAATACACGACTTTTTTTGGTCTCTTTTAATATCTATCTAAGTATTTAAAAAGAATTACTTAATTTGTTCAAAAGAAATAAATAATAATATAACGTTCAATATGGTAATAATAGTTGATCTCTTAATTTATTTCAAGTCTCATCACATAATTATAAAAGGGTATTTTCATTTCTGTAATTGTATGCAATAAGCACATAATGAATACATTATTTTGTGTCAATGTTTGATGTTCGTTTTTCTTTGAAGGAAATTTAATTGGAAAGAAATGATAACAAGTGTATTTTCTTAAAATAAAAGTAAAAATCATGCATTGTAATTTATTCCGTGTTACGAAGCCATGAAATTTAAATTTATTTAAACTTATTTTTTATATTTTTTTTAAGAGCTTTTCTTTTTTGAAAAGTCTTTGCTGCGAACGATGTTACAACTACGATCTTATCCGAAATTTTTTAAAGCTTTGAAAATTTTACAATGGTTAATAAGTTTTGGAATTCTTATGATAGGTTCGTTTACATATTTTGATCTTGAAAATTAAAATTTTTAAATACATTGTTTTCGTGATTAACCTATTTTCTTTTAAAAAAAAAAAATAATAAAATAATAATAAAATAAAAATTAAATTTAAAAAAAAAATAATTGTAGAAGTGACACAAATTGTAGTATATTATAAAGTTCCTTTACCCAAATCATTTTTTTCAAAGCAAGATCTGTAAGTATAAAATGCATTGCACTGTTCATAGAATCCGATCCTTTTTCTTATAAAAATTTTGAAAACAATTATTTAGTTACGTTGGTGAAGTTAAATATTGGTATTACTTTGTAATCTTAATAACATTAATTGGAATCGGTAAGTAATATTTTTCAAAGCAGAAATTAAGATTGATTGTATGCAAAAGTTATTTAACTTCGCGATTTTCCTATTTCTTTTTCTTCAAAATTTTTTTTTTCGATAGGTTATTATTTGACGAAATTTCATAGATTTTGGGGGATGGGCCCGAATATAGTGATCGATTTGTAAATATTTTTGAATTATTATTAAATTATCAATCAGTTTATGTAAGTTTATTAATTCATTATATATTTAGGGTATTCTTTTTTATTTGGCTTGCAGCTGGTAAGTTATTAATTATATAAATATATATATTTATAAATTTTATCTGACGAATAAAACTTTTGTTTAGGCCTTGCGAACCTCGTTCCGGTGTATAAAGGATCTAATTTAACATGTCCTTTAATAAAATCCAAGTCTCAAAACCTTGAACTACATTGTTTATATTATATAGTATCATTAGTATTAGGTTGGGTGAATACGTTGTTCTTTTTAATGACGAGTATAATATGTCTAATAATTCGATGGGAGAAAGCTAAATGGGAAGAAGAAAAATCGGGATTATCAAGAAAATCGAGAGATTATAAATCTTATGGTCCAATGGATTCAAAATCCAATTTACATTTTCCTATTACGATTCATCAAAATAATATTTCTGCTACCCTCAATTAGAATTGAAAAATGGATTTTTTAAAAAAAAAAAATATTCAATAATAAAAAATATATATATATATTTATTTCTTTATAATAATTCTTAATTTATGCCCTAGAAATAATTTTTTTTAGTAAGAATGGGTTTATTAAATTTTACAACTCAAATAATTTTAAGATATGCAACGAAATTTTCAAAATGAAATGCTGAAATAATTTATGATTTAAATTGTACACTAATGATATCCATATTTATTAATTAATATATTTAACCTTTGAATTATAGAAATTAGATTAGGATTATTAAATAAAAATAATTTAATATTAACTATTAAAATATCCCACCAAAAACGTGTAAAAAACTTATAAACCTAAAATGTAATTATTTATATTATATATATAAATTAATGTCTAATTTTTTTTTTTTTTTGATTATTATCAATTTTCGCCTAATTACTATCATCACCATTACTATAGTATTCGCTATCAGTCTCACTCTCATTAAATTTTATAAAATTCCTTGGCGATTTTACCCCTTCTACCTGATCATATTCTTTCGGAACAAAATTTAATAAAGGTTTAATGTTAGTATTCCGTAATGATAATGTATGTGTGGCATCAGCTTTTAAATTTAGTTCAAGTAATGTTTTTCCATTAGTGAGCATTGTTGGTGATAATAAATTATGTGTCGTCAAACTCTTTGATAATGGTGCGTCTATTTTTAATAATGTTCCCAGAGGTTTTAATCTTTGTGAATTATTGTTCCTCTCGTTAGATTCTTGAACTTTAGTTAGCAAAGATCCTTTATTAAATTGTACCCCATCTTCAATTTGTATTAAATGACCTGTAGACGTTCCTTCTTTATATTTCGTTAACAAAGTCCCTTTATTAAATGTTATTCCATCTTCGATTTGAATCAAATGATTTGAATTATTATTATTCTCGGATATTGTGTCATTATTTCTTCCTAACAAAGATCCTTTGTTAAATTTTACTGAATTATCCAAATTTACAAAAGTTGTGCTATTTGGATCTCTGATAATTCCTATACCACCCATAGCTTTACGAAGTTTTTCTCTTTCTTTAGCCTGTTCAAATAATGAATCATTTGAAGCCAATAACGATCCTTTTACAAAAGATACTCCCTCTAGTTCAACTTGTTTTATAGGTGAATTTTTTTCGTCAAAATCTAACAATGAACCTCCTTTAAATGGTTGATCTCCATTCGTCGTAGAAATGGTTCCCACAAAATTTTCGAATTTACCTTTTAATGGTTTTGACGAAGAATTACGAACAGCTTTACGTAGACTTTCCCATTGGTTATTAGATCTATGTTTTTCTGAAACTGCAGTTCCATTATTTACGTTCGCATTCAAGTCCATAGAATTTTCACTGGTCAAAGGTTTCTATTTCCGACCAATATAATTAAAAAAAATGTTATTTTCTATATCTTTTACAAGTAAAAAAAAAAATTATTTTGCCAACCTCGGAATCTGTATTCGAACGCAACTTATCATGATTGTCAGATACATTTGTTTTCACAATTTCTAGAGGCTTTTCAATAAATCTTTCTGGATTTTCGGCACGCATCAAGTTATTCTTTTATAATAATAATGATAATAATAATGAGAATAAATATTTGATATAGTATTAAATTAAAGATATGGAATTAAGTTCGTTGAAATTACCTTAGAAGCTCGTAAACTAAATACCCAGTCTCTTTTCTTATCCATGTGATCTGCGCACAAATAATGTAAATAATCTTTTTCTGGATTCTCAAACATTGCAATTTTATCTTGAGATTTTAAAACGAAAATAAATTTTGTTGGAGATTTTTTCACAGTTTTTGTCATGGTATACACATCAAAATTGGCAAGCGAACAAAGGAAAGTTTCATTATTCCCCTAGTTTAAAATAAATAAAATTTTTAACATTTATATTTAAATGAAAATTAAAAGATTAGATATATATACCTTTGAATCCTTGGAATGATATATAACTCCTTCTTTGGTGTAAAAGTACCTTTTTTGCCACTTATTTTTCTTAATCTCCAAATGTAACCATCCAAACATAGGTGGGACGGCGTTGTTGAATCCCTAATCGATGAAATTAAATTTAATATTTCTATTATCAAATCAATATATAAATAAATACCTACTTTTAATGTTAAACAACTCCTAAATACATCTCTTTTCAAAACAAGTGCATTTGGTTTATCTAATTCCCAAGCTCCGATTACCGTAGCAACGTATTCCCAATCCCTAATTGGACGTTCTAATAACAAAATCAGTTTCTCATCACAAAATTAAATTCCAAAAAAAAAACATATATATACATATACCTAGACCATATTCATTTATAAATTCGAATAATGTCCAAGTTTCACTCTCGTGAATTGTATCATTACTACGGAAATAATTCAAAATGTCTAATGCAGTCTTATTTGATGTTATTGACAATTTTTTATATTGACGAACATCTTCAATAAAAATTTGTGTGGTAATCTAATAAATATATGTCCATTAAAGTTAATATTATAGATTAAGAATAGCAAAAAGAACAAAAGATAATGTAAGAAATTATTACAAACTTTAAGTTCAGTAATTTTTGGTGCTTTACTTTCAACAAATGTTTCCGCCTAAATTTATATATGTTTAAATAAGAGTCTTTCACTAATTAATTTTACAGTAACTCATCATACCTTTTCACGACGATAAGGAAAAGGCTTTTCCTTATCCCATAACTCATTGGTTCGAGATTTGTTATTTTCTTTATTGTAATTCCTAGCTTCAACTTCACGTTCTCTTGGTTTCGATTTTGATCTTCCATGTTCTTCTTCGAGTGTTCTAGATTTAGCTATCCCACGTTCTTCTACATGAATTTTTGATTTAGTTCTCCCATGTTCTTCTTCTCCACGAACTTTTGATTTAGATCTCCCACGTTCTTCTTCTTCATAGATATTTGATTTGGCTCTTCCACGTTCTTCGTCTCCACGAACTCTTGTTGCTCTTCCACTTTCTTCTTCTCCACGAACTCTTGATTTAGCTCTTCCATTTTCTTCGTCTCCACGAACTCTTGTTGCTCTTCCACGTTCTTCTTCTCCACGAACTCTTGATTTAGCTCTTCCATTTTCTTCTTCTCCACGAACTCTTGTTGCTCTTCCGCGTTCTTCTTCTCCACGAACTCTTGATTTAGCTCTTCCATTTTCTTCTTCTACACGAACTCTTGATCTTGCTCTTCCACTTTCTTCTTCTCCACGAACTCTTGATTTAGCTCTTCCATTTTCTTCTTCTCCACGAACTCTTGATCTTGCTCTTCCATTTTCTTCTTCTCCACGAACTCTTGATTTAGCTCTTCCATTTTCTTCTTCCCCATGAACTCCAGATTTAGTCATTCCACGTTCTTCTTCTCCATGAACTCTTGACCTTGCTCTTGTTCTATATTCATTTGTTTGCGACGTCTTTTCAGATCCAATTTCATGAGATGGTTCACGATTTCTGTGTATTCTATTTTCATTGCCACGAACCCTAGATTTAGCTTTTTCCCTAGTATCTGTTTCATGATCTCGTGAATGCATTTGGATTCCTTTTACTCCATTTTCTCCTCTGCATTTACTACCTTCCCACTCATCTGACCCAATTTCACTTGACCTTGGACGAGGTTCGTGCTCCCTTGATTTACCTGATCGATCCTTGTGATCGTCAGAATTTTGCTCTTTAGACCTTCCCCTTTCTTTTGACTTTAATGATCTAGAAGAATTTTCCAAATGGTCTGTTCTTTCAAACTTCTTATTTAGATGGGTCCTTACGGATGAATCATGAATATCTAAATTTGACTCTTGAACTTTTGATCTAACCGTTTGCTTTTCTTCCAAATTGATATCTGGAGTTCTTGAATTGATTGAATTCATTCTGGGGTTAAATGAGAGGTTTTCATCATATGATTTTACATTATCTTTATGTGATGTTGAAGGAGAATCAATGAAATCTTTTAGGGATGAATTGAAACTACGACCAATTGTTGGAATTCTTTTAGCTTCCTTTGACTCATGGGATGATTTAGAAACGTTTTCTTTGGAAATGATGGATTTTTGATCATTATCGGAAGAATTAGACAATTCTGTTAATGAAGATTGCTTTGGCAACAAAATTTCTCTTGTCATTATCAAAGGGCTATCATCGCTATCACCATCACTTTCCGAAGAATCATCCGATGACGATGACGATACGACATCATCATTTTCACTATCACTGCTTATAATAAAGGCCACTTTCGATATAGACCTAGGAGAAGGTATGGGAGAAGATGTAGACACCGAAATATTACTACTGTTTGATAATGATCTAAGGCGCGAATAGTTCAAAGGAGAGCTTGTTAACTTTTCGGAAGAGGAAAAAACATTGATTTGTTTGGTATTATTAATTGAAGATTCAGGTGACAAATTTTTAGGAAAATTTGATTTTTGGTGAAACGTAGTATCAAGATGTAAGTCCTTATTTGAAATAGATTTCTCAGAAGAGCTATAACCATTATTAATTGAAAAGGAAGGTTTTTCCTTTATCATAGAATCTATACTTTTTTGTGGTGTAACTTCTATAGGATTAAAACCTGTAACTATTTCTAAATTTTTGTGATTTGTGTGAGAAAGATCATCGAAATCCTCGCAAGCAAGTTCCTTTAAGATAAAACATTTTAATTTGAATTAGCAATTTTTTTTTTTGTAAACAATTTTTTTTTCGGATACATTGAACATAACTTACCGCAGTGAATTCTTCGACCTCTTGCTGCAAAAGACTAAACATTAATTCAAGATCCTTGCTCATTTTTTTTTATTTTGTTTTATACAGCATGAATTTCGATTTTCGAAAAAAAACAAAAGCCGTCAAAGAACTATTCTTTGGGAAATTAAATAATCGTAAAAGAATGACTACAAGTATTTATTAATGATGAATATATTCTTAACCCATAAAGTTTATAACCTAATTTACTATATATCCAATCTTTTGTCTTTTTTTTTTTTATTATATTATTTTTAAATATACAAAATAAACTATGCAAAATAAATTAATGTATATAATGAAATTGCCAATGTTTCCTTTTCATGCACCTGTGCAGAAAAAACTGTGAAGAAAATGAAGAAAAGGAAAAAGTGAAAGTGAAAAAGTGAAAGTGAAAAATGATAGTTTAAAAGGAAAATGTAAAAATGTAAAGTTTATATATAATTTTTTTCACCCCACCACCTTATTATATAAATAAGAATTACTGTCGTATCACTTTTAGTAAACAAAGGTTACAAAAATATATATATAAAAAAGACTTTTCGGGAAACATTTTGTTTCACTTATAAAATGATAAAGGAATGATTAACCAACCAATCGGCAGATAATAGGGGTTAAACTTAAACCATGTTATTTTATTTATATTGTCATTGAATAAATCAAAATCTCAATTATTTGAAAGATAATTTAGAACTAAGAATTGCTTTTCCTTGTCCTTCTTAGTTGTGTTTGTTTGTTATTGTTTTTAGGACCTACCACCACGTGTTTTAAATCCGAAAAAAGGTTTCAGTTTTCAGGCTTGCATTGGGTTGCATCGTGGACTGAATGTTGTCAAAAAAAACATATGGGGGGTTTTTTTTCGGGTCGGGTTTATGTTTCATGTTCCAGCTCAGGTACTTATGTAATGTTGTTGTATTTTCGGCCTATTAGCTATTTATATTATGGGTAACGTAGATATTCAAAAAATTTGTAAAATTCTTTGTTCTATTGTAAAACATTTTTCTTTTTCAATAAAAATAAATTTAGTAAATATTCATTGTGAAACCCCTATCTTGTTCGGAAATTTGTCGGAAATTTAATTATGCGAGATCAAAACTTAATAAATTACTTGCCTTATCGACAACGACAATCAATTTTTAACATGTAAATGATCGAATTAAAAAGAAAAAAAATTTTTTTTTCATCTGTTGTATAATATATTAAATATGTTACTAAACATTAATGATGAAAATTATAGATCGTATTGATCGTATTGAAATAGTTAAGCTTATTCAAATTATTGTTGCACTAGTTAATTTTTTTAAAAAATTTGAAATTAATATATTTACCTTGGCCAATAATGTTCCTATTTCTATGATATTATTCAAAACATCTGAAACAAAAAATCTTCAATTGACACAATTAAATAGTTAAAAATAGATAACCAGATTGTTTTTAATAGGCATTGCTTTTATTTTTATTTTGCACAACCTTTTTTAAAATATAAATAGGACATACATATTAGATTAGATTTCCTTATATTTCTTGATATAGTTAAATTAATTAATTTGCCTTAATATTTATAACTATTAAGAACTTTGATATTATATATGCCTTAAAAATACAAAAGTCTAAAACTTGAAATTCTTGTAAAAATTATATTTGCAATTTAAATTAAATAAATAACAGAATAATATAACTAATAAAATCATAAATAAAAGCATAAAAATAATTATATATTACCAAAAAATATTTTAAATACTAAAATAAAAACTAAAATAGAATAATAAATTAAGTTATTTTATATATAATAAATGCTTAACATATAATATTGTTATAAAAAAAATATAATAAAATAATTATTTTCATCATTATATCTTAGCATTAGACACTAATCTGATGATATAATGCTTCTTGAATCCTTAAAGTATAAACCCATTTTCAGAATTTGCAAACTCTTTGTAAAGATTTATATCCAAACACTGGTCAAAATAGTCCAAATCAGCTATAAATCAGATGGCTAAATTTAGGCTGATTTTGGTACTATTTTCGGCAGATTTGTTATTTTCTGATCGGCACAATCTATGCCGATTGACCCAAATAGATAATACAAATCAACGCCAATCAATATAACCATTCGACATCAATTCAGAATATAAATTCCATCATAAATCAGCTTCAATTCGACTAAATAAATATTATAAAAAATCAGCCAATAGCGATATATTATTTATTAGCAAATATTTAATAATAAAAGCTAATACAAAACCAATTTGTTCTATATTAAAAAAAATAATGATAAATGATAAAAAAAATATTCTAAATCCCCCGAAATCATCCTAAATATCTATATAATATAATAATAAATAATAAAAAAATTGTCACGTTTTCCTCCTAAAAATCCCTTGCAATCAATTTATTCTTTCAGATTTTCATCATTACTTTCCGCTGCAAAAGAAACTCCCCTTTGAACCTCTTCTACTTCTTTGTTTTTCGTAATTAGCTCTTCTTATACACTGACTTCTGCATCTTCTTTTGTACCATAAATAACATTCGACGATTGGTCATTATAAGACCATTTAGAAGCATTAGGAAATGCAGCCAATTGTATTGCTACAATTCGTCATTATATTTTTATTTTCTTTGAATTTGAGATGAAGTTGCAGCAATTGGATCAAATACATTTCTTAAAAGATTTTTAAGCTAAAAGAAGAAAAGTAGAAAGAATATTAGTATAAACATATTAAATAAAAATCAAAAAAATGTAAATTAAAAAAAAATCTCAGTCGATTGCCACGAATAATCATATACAGCGATAACAGATTTTTGTTTATCATTATCATTTCGCTGATTTCGGGCAAATGGTATTGACGAGTGGCTAGCATTCAGATTAAAGGCTGCTTTTATATTTGTAATTCGCTTATCATTAATTGAATATAATGATTTAGCAGCCTTTACCCTTCGAATTTTTTTCTAGTAATAATAAATGATATTAAATTATTAATTTAAAAATATTCCAATTTATTCTATTTGCTTACATCATGTACTCGATTATTATTATAGATTCGACATTTTTCCACCAGGCCTTTCTGCTTTTCATTATTCTTCGAGCTGCTCAGCGCGACTTATAAAGCATTTTCAACCAATCTGTTAATTGGTCAACAGATAGTCAAAAATTTGGAACCAAAGCCTTTCGTAATTCTGATATTAGATTATAATGTTTTTCAATATTTTTTTCGCTATTAAAAATTCGTCATAATCTAAATCATCTTTCGCTGAGATTGTTTTTAAAATCGCTTTCATTTCGGTCTAAATATGAAAAGCAGAAAAATAAATCAGCTTAGAAATTTAAAAAATTTAGACAAATTCAAACATATCCTAGCTCCTTTTAAATCAGCCTCTATGTTTGCCGAATTATCACTGTCATCAGAATTAGTATTTGCTGATTCTTCTTCTAATTCGTCATCAGTACAGTGAACAGGCTTCTTGCCTTTCGATTTCAATTTGCCGATTTTTCTTCACTTTGTAGAAGGACTGTTATCAGAATCGTCTTTTTGCTGCCTAAACAATTTTAGCAGCTGTAATTTATGCAATTGGTCAAGTCTTAAATATTAAAAAAAGAAAAATTAGTTATTGAGAATTTTAGGATATTAGTAGTATACGAATTTACCTCTCCTGCAATTCGTTATTTTTCTTGCCAAATTCTTTGTTTATTTTGGCTAGCAATCGATTTTCGTTTTCTAATTGTTCATTTCTTGATAAGAGATCAGAATTTTGTTTTTCTAATTTCTTGATCTTTTTACAAAAATCGTCTAGCTGCTTCTTCAGCCTTTTATTTTCTATATAAAAATAAA